CTCTCTCTCTCTCTCTCTCTCTCTCTCTCTCTCTCTCTCTCTCTCTCTCTCTCTCTCTCTCTCTCTCCAATGCTACTCTAGCTTCTACTAGCGCCCAGCGCTGAAGACTACTGCTAATGCTACTACTACTCCTGCAGTGCACCTCCAGAGTGCTGCTGCCGAATCCTGAAGACTACCTCCTGCCTCCTGCACGTGAAGTGTGTGGGAAGTTCCTATGAACTGCCTCCTGACTGCCTACAGCCTGCAGGGCGGGCCAGTCTTATATCGTGCTGGCCCGTCCAGGAGGGTGCTCTTGCCAATGCCAAAACGTGCCAGACCCTGGCGTTGAAGTTCAACCAGAGGTTGTCTTGAAAACAGGCCCAAAATGGCCTGTGCTAAAACCCTGGTCTGGTGCCTAAGTTTCGGGGCAGGTCGATCTTATGAGGGCCTGAAAATGGCCCTCCGTTTCAGGCTGAAAAGACTCAGGGCCTGGAGGGCCCTGTTTTAGGCTGAAACGACACGGGGCCTGCAGGTCCTTGCTTTCAGGCTTTCAGGCTGAAACGACACAGGGCCTGTAGGCCCTCGTTTTCAGGCTTTTAGGCTGAAACGAAATAGGCCCTACACTTGCTGACCCTTAGTCTACCTTGTCGGGCTCTGCTTGGCCCGTGTGGTACTGAGTATGGCACAAGTGGTGGGGGGGAGGGCTAACATCTCCGGGAATGGATAGTTGTTAAATTTGGGGATGCGTCAGGAGATTGAACAGCGATTTCGTCAAAACGGACATTTTATATTTTTTGAACGAAATTGAAATTGTCATTTCCGTGGTGATTCACGGTCAAAAATGCATTTGAATTTGGGGTATGGGTATACATGCAAGGGTAAGGGGTAAGGGGTAAGGGGTTTGGGGGTAAGGGATAAGGGGTAAAAGACAAGGGGTAAGGGAAAGGAACATGGAGCAATGGTTTGTCATCTTCTATACACTGTTTCCATCACAAACAATGTAATGTTACCCACATCCATCCGCATGTAATCACATTATCCAGCAGCAGGTTCATACTACTCACGAGCCACTGTGTCCAAAGCCATTTGACGACGTAATCAGCGGTGAAAGAGAAAGGCGGAAGGTGACCCCTTGCCAATAGCGATGCGTATGCGAGCATGAAGACCCCACACAAGCTAGTGTCACGTTGTTTCGGGACGCCCTCTACGGTCCATATGTGATTAAACGGTTTCGTGTCCACCTCTTTGCCTTTCTGAATTGATCTTTTAAACAAAAACTTTGCAAATCTGCCGGTCACTTTGGCTGCCAGTTCTTTGTCGGGGCTAAGGGAGTCGTAAAATTCAAATTTCCTCCTCCTGAAGTCAGCCACAACGAGGGTCCAGTGGTTCGTGTGTGCGATATGAAAAGGGGCAATTATCAAGTCCATGTCACTTATTATGATGTCATTCGACGAGTGCTGCACCTCTCACTCTTGATATCTCATTTCGCTGCCGAAAAGTCTGGCGAAGGAAAACGAGCTCAGCACTGATATTCTAGGAATGCGACACTTTCCGATTCTAATCACGGTTTCGTTCTCAGCGTCGCATTCTACGTGTGTGATTCTACACCAGTTGTCTAGTGCGATGAGGTTCAGGTAGAAGTTGACGACGTTGTTATTTAACCAGTTCCGCTCGTCGACTAGTAAAATAAATTCGTCTCGAGTTAGCTCCAATACTTCGTTCGTCCCGTGATTGTGTGTGCTCGATATTGGGAATCTTTCCCCGTACTCCCGGCATACATGTGAGAGTGCTTTCATCTCCTTCTCTGATAAAGACGATGTTGCGAGGCGCATTGTCCACCCTCTTTTGCACTTTCTGGTATCCGTTGTTGAAATTTGCACTACACACGACAAGCACGACGAATACGACATCGACGGCGGTGTAAACAACGGTGACCGAGGCGGACAGGGGTGTAAGAAATGTCGCCCTTACAGGAAAGTAAGAAACGGGTGGGCAGGCGGTGTAAAAAACGGGGAGGACGACCATTTGAGATATGTGTACATGGGCATGTGCCTTAGCATAACATGCTAAACGGAAATGATGTATTCAAAATACGTCATCAATGTTTCGCTAAACTTATACTTAGATGGACGACAACACTTCGGGACTCCTGCCCCCTTTCATCACCGTACCCCAACGACATACATGCATATACACAATGCAGCATATCGACGAATATAAAGAGACACACACGCATACTACGACACACTCTTGTTCACCACACAATTTTCTTGTCAACAATTAAAAGGCCAAATCTAAAAAATTGAACACTAACGAGTCTGCAGGTCGATTGTACATAGGAACAAATTCCGCCCACAAACCCAGATTTCAAACAAATGAGCACACACACGAAAACATTAAATTTCCCCGCGAAGAGGATTCCCCTTAAGTTCATTCCCTCTCTCACCCCTCATTTTCTACACGCGTGGGATCGCTCACGCCCTTTCCGCCTTCTACCCCATCCTCATCGTCCGTCGTCATGTCCTCAATATTGCGAGAACGTGGAGACCCCCCTGCATTTCCCCCATTCCGGTCATCCCCTGTGACCCCTCCCTGTAGTGTTGTTGTACAGTGTGCGTCACCTTTGCTAGTGCATGTGGGCGGATGCAACGACATCCCCGTGACGCCCATCCCAGCAGTGGACTCTGAAACCATCTCCGATGTGCCTGCCAGCACCGCACCTGTCGCAAGGAGACTCCCGTATGTGGCGCCCGCATTCGCCGGTTTGTCGAGTGACACTTTTTCACCTTGTGATGTATCCCCCGTTGCGACAGAGATGGCTCCGATGGTGTTTTTGCCTGCGGGCGTGTTCCCCGCTCTGGCAACGGAGGCTTCACGCCCAACGTCGTCCCGCCATCTTCCCTTTGTTCACCCATCGTGTTCCCTGTGGCCGCCTCGGGCACAGGGGCGGCATCTTCTCGGAAGTCCACGTCCATGCTCTCGAACGCGGCGGCGCGCTCAACCTTCCAGTCAATCTTGTCGTACGAGGGGCTCGACTGCAGCTCTTAAGACTTGTGTGAGTACTCTAACTGCTGAGTGGCTCCCAAGGCGTCGAACAATTGTTTCGCCTTTGCCGCGATGGATGTTTCACTCTCCCCGGGGTTCTCTTTCTGACAGCGGTATAGTATTGATTGCTCCATCGTCTTCAGCCAACTGTCCTTTCCCATGCGGGGAAACGGTCTCCAACCCTTCGAGACATACTTCACCGCCATTTTTCACTCCCCGCCTTGGATACATGGCTCGAAAATGTCGTCATGCCAAATGATATCATGGCCACATTTGTCCTCACTACTGCAGGCGTATTTGTCATCCAAGAAATACACATTGTTTGGATCCACACAAAATCTGGGAGGAATCGGATCGCCTGGCGCCAGCTTCGTTGGCTGAGCAGGAATATCAAGGTCATCGTCTTCGTCGTCTTCCACAGGCGTACATACAACCCGGTCCACACCCGAGGCCAGATTGTTCGCGGGTGGCACGTTCGAGCATCCCTCTGATTGACCCGGTCCATATCCCTTGACGTTGTGCTCCATGGCAGCGGACTTCCCACACCACCCGGTTGCATTGGTGTCCTTTTCGATCTCGAGGTCGGAGTCCGACGAGTCTTCCTCGCTGTCAACGGGGTTAAAACCTTCACCCGATTTAGCGAGGTCTGCATAGTCTTTAAACGTTAGTTTATCTTTGTGAAGATCAAACCTCAAGATCTCGCATCGAGCAACGAATGTCTCGAAGGCGCCAGTTAGAACACCGTGATAATGTTTGAGGGCCTCGGTCACCTTGGCTTTCCTATATATGTATCCCCCATCATGGCGTCCATCTGGCGCATCGCGGAACAGGTATCCCCACACCTTCAGTCTCTTCGGTCCCAACTTGTGGTACATATCCCTGTTGGTGCGATGTGTGGCACGCGGCTTCTCGAGGCGGCACTCGAATCTCTCATCCTTAACAAGTATGTCGACGAACTTTGTCAAGTATGCAATGTCCTTGGCCGACTCGTCACAGGCAATGGCATTATTACCTGCAAGCAAGAACTTTCATACAAGACCCGTGTGCGCCCTACCCAGCAAAAACACACCTTCCGCCTCTCCTACGAATGAACTGCACAACTTCCGCAACTTGCCAGGTTATCGCTCCTAAATTGAATATGCGGCACTTTCGTCGCCTTCGACACCACCGTGTTTTCCTAGACACTTCCCGCAATTTTGCTCCAAGTCCTACGAGGTCCATGCACTGCTGAAATTCGCGGTCGAGATGTCCACGATGACGTCCCTGCATGCCATTTTTTGTGCGTCTGCGACGATGTCGACAGGCGTCGCCATAACCTCCTTTGACCGCATGTATACATGAAGCAATGTGGTCTGCCTGCCGAGTTTGTCCCACACAAGATGGCGTGCACTGGAGGCGATCCGTTTCACCTCCGCTCGAAGCATATCGAGCTTATCGATCGCGGTGTATATAAAGACCTTGAAGTGAAACGGAGCCTCCTTGTACATCACTTCTGTAGGCCCCAAGCCCGCACCTTGCCTCACCTCCTCCACTCCTCCAATTCGCCGAGGGATCGTCTTCACTAAGTTGCTATGCAGCTTCTCCCGTTGCTTCTCCTATTCATCTGCGCACAACCCGTTTGAAGCATACCTCTCTTCCAGGTCCTTGTACGACATGAAGAAGTCGTCGTTCCATTCGTCCCCTGCCCTTCCCTCGGCGCGAAACACGACGTAGTTGAACATGCGGACCATGTATCTCTCCTTGCGCATAATGTCGAGGAGGCACTCTGTGTTCACCCTCGAAGGCGTGACTCTCACTTTTGTTGCCACCACTTTCCCCGACATGAGCAGGAGTAGCGTGACTTCTCTCTCGCGGCATGTCATGTCCCCGAAGTTCTTGAAGTACGTAGGACACAAATCGTTCCAGGACACGGTGGAGCCCTTGGGACCATCTCTCGCATATATGCAGTGGTACAAAGTCCGTTGTCCCTTGTTTTCGTCAGTGTACGGGTTGGGCAGGCGCCCCTCCATCCTCCCCGGCATCTCAAGTGGGATCTTGCCATTGCTGATTGGCAGCTTACCCTCCTCGAACATCGAGAAAAACTTCTCCACCAGCGGCCAAACCGTGCGGGTGGACATGGCGAGGTTCAGGTACCCCCGAAGTTTGTTACTCCAATCCTTGCTGTATTCGTTGTCGAGTGTCTGTTTCACGAACGCCTTGTCGCACGTCTTCCCCATGCAGGCCCTCAGGAAGTTCTGCCATGTTTTCTAATGCGCAACGGCGACGGCATCCTTCTCGCTGACCTTAGCTTTGGGTGCCTCGATCCTGTTGTTGTCGATCCACCATTGCCGCATATCATGCACAGCGTCCTGGAAGGATAACATCATGGCGCGATTCTCCCGTGTGTTGTCGAAGAAGGAGACATTGAAGTACCTGCGTGTGTGGTCATCGTTGAAAAAGACGACTCGCACTTTAGAGTACGTGTGAAGGTCGTAGACTTTGACCGCGGGGGAGTCCTTTGCAACCAACCGTTTCATGGCCTCGGTAGTATGCTGACCGCAGACAGCGTACCAGTCGAACTCTGCAGAACCTCTTTGGAAGAACTCGTCCGGCGTGATTCACCTTCCCTGCCCGCCGACGATGACGGTGGGGTCAACCGGTGCAAGAACGAGCTCAGGTCTATCCCACACCCCCGGGTCAGCACTGATGGAGCTTTCTATGGCACTCTCGATGCCTCCCACAATGTTCTCAGACAATGAACGGTGGTTAAAAAGGATCTTCCCACGGGGAATGGGTTTGATCCTATTAACGTCGACGTTAACAACTTGGACGTCTTGCCTGGCGAAGCCCTGTTCGTCGTATTCGAGGAAGAAACATCGTGTGATGTCAACGGGCGCGGCGTGCTGAACCAGCTCTTCAATGTCTTCGGGCATGCGAGGCCCCGCCCCATCGCCCTCATCCCCCGAGTCCCGCAGCTCAGGTGCCCTGGACCTCTGCGAGCCTTTCCTACCGCCGCCGCGACCGCCCCCACGACTGCTACTCCCCCCC